CCCAAACCACAACTCCTGACCCCAAATCTCCTCTTTGTTCCCCAAAATTTTGCTCTGAAGGTCGGGGTTTGAGGCCCAGGGTCCCGATTTGGAGACAAAGGTTGAGGATTTGTGTCAGCGGCTGCTGCTTCAGGGAGCAAAAGTGGGGATTTGGGGCAGGTTCGTGCGATTTTTGGTGCCAACTTAGTTTGGTTTGGGGCAGAAGCGGTTCGCGGGTTTCGGCTCCGTGGTTGGTGGTGTTGGAAACGGGGGAGACCTGGGACAAAGGGTCAAGAATGGGGTCAAGGGCTGAGATTTGGAGGAAGGGTCTGAGATTTGGGAACAGGAGGGGCTCAGAAATGGCGATGTCACCACCGGCACAGTCAGTATAAGCAGCAGCAGTGCTACCAGTGCTGTAAGATTTGGCACAGAAATAGGATCCGGAATCCTCATCCTTGAGGTTGTTCATGGTCAGCGTCACCGAGCTCTGCCCATTGTCCCTGGAGATCATAAACTGGCCCCTGACCGAATCTGCATAGTAGGTGCTGCCACTGCTGCTGATTCTGGCGACTGGCTCCAGCCCCTGCCCAGGTCTCTGGCGATGCCAGCCCATCCCAAAACTGCCAAAATCGAACCCAGACCCTTGGCAGAGGAGGCGCAGGGACCCCCCGGGGGGCTGGAGTTCCCCCCCGGGCACCAGCAGGGTCACGGCCGCCCGGAGCGCTGCGGGACAAAGGGGAGATGGGCACGTGGCGATGCAAAAGTCGGGTGGAGCTGTCAGATTAATTAATGGGTGGATCTGGGTTAATTTTTGTGTTGAAGGCACTTTACAATACTGGAGTCCTCTGTTGGAGAATTGGGGTAAGATAAAGGGAATTTGGGGCAAACTGGTGAAGGTTTTGGGATGGTGAAACGGCCGTGACCCTGCTGCAGTGCGGGGGGGACCTCCAGCCCCCACGGGGATCCCTGCGCCTCCTCTGCCGAGGGTCCGGATTAGATTTTGGCAGTTTTGGGATGGGCTGGCATCGGCAGAGACCCGGGCAGGGGCTGGAGCCAGTCACCAATATCAGCAAAAGTGGCAGCACCTGGTACGCGCCATCGGTCAAGGGCCAGGTCACGATCTCCAGGGACAACAGGCAGAGCTCGGTGATGCTGACCATGAACAACCTCAAGGACGAGGATTCCGGATCCTATTTCTGTGCCAAATCTGCTTATGGATGTGGTGCTTATGCTGCTGCTGATATTGACCCTGCCGGTGGTGGCACCACCATTTCTGAGACCTTCCTGTCCCCACTCCCCAGACCCTTCCCCAAATCTCAGCCCTTGACCGCATTCCTGACCCTTTCCCCCAGATCTCCCCCATTTCCAGCAACGCCAACCACGAAGCCACAAAGCCCTTACTGGTTCTGCCCCAAACCAAAGTAAGTTGGCACCAAAATTTGCCCCAAATCTCCACGTTGTCCTCAAATCGCCCCCTGCTCCTCGAGCCCTGATTGGCTGAGCTGGAAAAGGCAAAAATGGGAACTCTTGGAGAGCAAGATCAGACCTGGAGCTCAGGGGTGAAGGTTTGGGGCCAATGGTTGAGTTTTTGGGCAGGAGCAGGGCAGGGTTTTTGGTCAGTGCTGACCATTGGTGCAAATGGGGACAAAGGGTCAAGGGCTGGGTCAATGGGTGACAATTGGGACTAAAATCACAACTCTTGGGACTCAATGATGGGAGTGGTGCCAGAACCAGGAGCTGGACACCATAACGTGCATCATCAACATAACCAGCACTAGGAACACAAACAGAGCATGAAGCTTTCCCACAGAAATTGGATCCAGAATCCTCGTCCTTGATGTTGTTCATGGTCAGCGTCAGCGAGCTCTGCCCGTTGTCCCTGGAGATCCTGAACCGGCCCTTGACCGATGGCGCATAGAAGGTTCTGCCACCACTGCTGTAGATCCCTGCAACATATTCCAAAGCCTGCCCGGGTCTCTGGCGGATCCAGTAAATTCCATAATGCCCAAAACTGAAGCCGGACCCTGGGCACAGCAATGTCTGGGGCCCCCGGGGGGCTGGATGTTCCCCCCAGACTCCAGCAGGGTCACGGCCGCCCGGTCCCGCCCTGCGGGACAAAGGGGAGATGGGGATGGGAAACCTGATTGGTGAAGAGTGCCCAAGTTGGCATTGCATGATTGAAAAAGGGGTGGGACCCCTGTAGGAGGAGGATGATGAACTCCAAGGGTTCCAGTTTGGGGCCAAGGGTCAGGATTTGGGTCAAGGGTTGAGCTTTGGCCCCATCCCCATCTCCCCTTTGTCCTGCAGGGCTCGGGGCGGCCGTGACCCTGCTGGAGTCCAGGGGGGACCTCCAGCCCCCCGGGGGGTCCCTGTGCCTCCTCTGCCGAGGGTCCGGATTCAATTTCGGCAGTGTTGCCATGAACTGGATCCGCCAGAGACCCGGGCAGGGGCTGGAGTACGTTGCAGATATCAGTAATGGTGGTGGCAGCACTGATTATACGCCGTCGGTCGAGGGCCGGGTCACGATCTCCAGGGACAACGGGCAGAGCTTGGTGACGCTGACCATGAACAACCTCAAGGACGAGGATTCCGCACCTATTTCTGTGCCAAATCTCCTGGTACTGGTGGTGCTGGAGCTAATTATATTTAGAATGCCAGTGATGGCCCCATCACCTGACACTGGGCTCACAGACATCCCAAAATTCCTACTTTTACCATCAACTCTTTGCCCTTGTCAACAAACCTTGACATTTTTCCCCCAATCTCCACCATCATTGCCTCACCTCTCACATTTCTATTGCAACTTTAGGCATTTGACCCAAATCTCACCTGTTCATGCCTAAAACAGTGCCCTTTGCACCCCAGATCTCAGCGGGGTTCACTTGTGACCATTGGCCCCAAGCTCAGCTGGTTCTGCCCCAAATCTCAGCTCCTGGACCCAAACATCAGGTCTGGGCCCCAAACCTCAGCCAAGGTCTGCAAATCTGGGTGCAAATTGTTGAGATTTGGGGAAAATGGTCCAGATTTGGTTCGGTGGGGGTCAGGGATGGGGTCAAGGGCTGGAGGGAATGGTCAGGGGAATGGGGACAGGTGGGGACACAGGGATAGGCACGGGTCAATGGATTCGGGGGTACCAGCAGCAATGTTAGTGCTGGACCCCTTGGCGCAGAAATAGGATAGGATCAGGAATCCTCGTCCTTGAGGTTGTTGACGGTCAGGGAAATGGAGCTCTGCCCGTTGTCCCTGGAGATCGCCACCCGGCCCCGCAGTGACGGCGCGTAGTCGGTGCCACCATGGCTGTCGACGGCGGCCACCCACTGCAGCCCCTTCCCGGGGCTCTGGCGGATCCAGTGCAGATCAGAACGACCGAGACGGAACCCGGCCCCCCGGCAGAGGAGGCGCAGGGACCCCCCAGGGAGATGGGGATGAGGCCAAAGCTCAACATTGACCCAAATCCTGACTCTTGGCTCCAAACTTGGACCCTTGGAGTTCCTCATCCTCCCCCCATGTGGGTCTCGATACTTTATCAAGCTTGATCCTCCCAGTTTGCAGCCCTCGACCAATCAGGTTTCCCATCCCTATCTCCCCTTTGTCCCGTAGGGCTCCGGGCGGCCGTGACCCTGCTGGAGTGCGGGGGGGAAGCTCCAGCCCCCCGGGGGGTCGCTGCACCTCCTCTGCCGAGGGGCCAGGTTCTATTTCGGACAGTCTGGAATGATGTGGATCCACCAGAGACAGGGGCAGGCTCAGGAATGGGTTGCAGGGATCAGCAGTGGTTCCTACACCGCATACGCGCCATCTGTAAAGGGCCAGTTCACAATCTCCAGGGACAACAGGCAGAGGTCAGTGACGCTGACCATGAACAACCTCAAGGACAAGGATTCCGGATCCTCTTTCTGTGCAAAGTCTCCTTATGCTGGTTCTAATTACGAAGCTTATGGTATTGATGTTGGTTTCAGCCCTGCCTTTCTTGATGGGTTCCCAAATGCCCCGAGTCCTCAGACCCTCCCCCCAAACTTCAGCCCTTGGCCCTTTGTCCCAAATCTCCCCCATTTGCACCAAGTGTCAGCACTGACCCCAAACCCTCCCCTGCTCCTGCCCCAAAACTCAACCATTGGCCCCAAACCTTCAGCCCTGGCCTCCAGTTCAGGCCTCCTCCAATCAGGGCCTGGGGAGCTGGGGGAGATTTGGGTGAAATGGGCAAAACTGTGGGAAAGCTGATAGTTGGGGCAGCAGGGGCGGAGTTTGGATGGAACTGGTGAAGATTTGATGAACAGAGCTGGGAGTCGGGGCAGGATCTCTGGGGATTTGTGGGCAGTTGGGACTGCAATGGGGCTGGGTCCACGGCAGGAATTGTCAATACAAGCAGGACCAGCAGAACCATAACCATTACTGCTACGTTTGGCACAGAAATAAATGGCGGAATCTTCGTCCTTGAGGTTGTTCATGGTCAGCGTAACCGAGCTCTGCCCGTTGTCCCGTGAGATCGTGACCCGGCCCTTGACCGATGGCGCGTCATAGGTGTTGGCACCATTGTAGTAGATGCTTGCGAAGTATTCCAAAGCCTGCCCGGGTCTCTGGTGGATCCAGAACATGGAGAAAGTCCCGAAATCGAACCCGGACCCTCGGCAGAGGAGGTGCAGGGAACCCCTGGGGGGCTGGAGGTCCCCCCCACACTCCAGCAGGGTCACGGCAGCCCGGAGCCCTGCGGGACAAAGGGGAGATGGGGATGAGAAACCTGATTGGTCGAAGGCCTCCTAGTGGGCAAGGCCAGCTGGAAGAAGGGGCAGGACCCACCTGGGAGGAGGATGATGAAATTCAAGGGTCCCAGTTTAGGGCCAAGTGTCAGGATTTGGGTCAAGGGTTGAGCTTTGGCCTCATCCCCATCTCCACTCTTTCCCACAGGGCTCCGGGCGGCCTTGACCCTGCTGGAGTTCGGGGGGGACCTCCAGCCCCCCGGGGGGTCCCTGATCCTCCTCTGCCTGGGGTCTGGGTTTGATTTTGACAAATTTGACCTGTTCTGGATGCATCAGAGACCTGGGCAGGGGCTGGAATTCATCGCCAGCATCTACTACGGCAGTGGGGGTTACACCTTCTACGCGCCGTCGGTGCAAGGCCGGTTCACAATCTCCCGGGACAATGGGCAGAGCTCCATGTCCCTGACCATGACCAACCTCAAGGACGAGGATACCGGATCCTATTTCTGCGCCAGATCTGCTCCTGGTTACTATAATTATGGTGCTGGTTATACTGACGGTGAAGGTCACCCCATCCCCAACCAGCATTAGGAGCAGCACCATAACCATCAGCATCCTTGGATCAGAAATAGGATCTGGAATCCTCGTCCTTGAGGTTGTTCATGGTCTGCGTCACCGAGCTCTCCCTATTGTCCCTGGAGATCCTGAACTGACCGTGCACCGACGGCGCGTAGTAGGTGGCACCATTGCTCCAGATGGCTGCGATCCATTCCAGCCCCTGCCTGGGTCTCTGGCGCATCCAGCCTATCCCAAAACTGCCAAAATCGAACCCGGACCCTCGGCAGAGGAGGCGCAGGGACCCCCCGGGCGGCTGGAGGCCCCCCCCGCACTCCAGCAGGGTCACGGCCGCCCGGAGCCCATCCCCAAACCTTCACCAATTTCTCTCATAACTCCCCTGGTTTGGTCCCAAAACCCCACCAGAGTTTTCCATATCTCAACATGCCTCAAATCCTTCAATTAACTCCACTCCATTCTTTAATTACTTAGACACCTCATCCTGAGCATTCTGCATTGATTGCACAGTTAATACACTGTGAACGACACCCAATTCCCCCTGGGATCCCAACCCGGGAACATCCTGGCTTTGGCCTCGAGCTCCCTCTGGCTCCTGGCCCTGCTGCTCCTGCTGCCCCTCCCAGGTGGCCCTGCCTCTTTTTCCTGGAAGTGACTCCCCTTTTCCCCTTCTGGACCAATCAGGTTTCCCATCCCCATCTCCCCTTTGTCCCGCAGGGCTCCGGGCGGCCGTGACCCTGCTGGAGTGCGGGGGGGGAACTCCAGCCCCCCAGGGGTTCCCTGTGACTTCTCTGCCGAGGGTCCGGGTTCAGTTTCCGGAGTTTTGGGATGGGCTGGGTGCACCAGAGACCCAGGCAGACACTGGAATACATCGCAGCTATCAGCAACAGTGACAGCGCCTGGTACGCGCCATCGGTCAAGGGCCGGTCCACGATCTCCAGGGACAACGGGCAGAGCTCGGTGACGCTGACCATGAACAGCCTCAAGGACGAGGATTCCGGATCCTATTTCTGTGCCAAGCGTATTTCTGGTGGCAATGCTGATATTGCCAGTGCTTTTGGCCATGTCCCCATCACCGTGTCCTCAGCTGTCCCCAGACCTCTCCCCTGTGGTCACACCTGGCCAGCGTCACCGAGCTCAGCCCGCTGTCCCTGGCCGTGCTGACCCGGCCCTTGACCGATGGAACGTTCCAGGTGACTCCACCCTTGGACCCATCTGCTTCTCTCAGCAAGGAGCCCTTGGCTCGAGATCAATTTCAGCAATTTCATCTCACCAAAATTTCAGGGGTATTTGGGAAAAAAAAAGGGTTTTTTCTCCAGAGCTCCTAGAGAGGATTCCAGCCCAGCCCCAAGGAGCAGCCCCAGACACCGAGGCCACTGAGGGAGAAGTGAAGCCCCAGGTGGGAGCGAGGGAGGGAGGGAGGAGAAGACGCCGCTATTTTGGGGCTCCGCAGCCTCCCCCCACTTCCTCCCCGGCAGCTGCCGGGGCCCGGCCGGGGCAGGAAAGGAAACAGAAAGTTCCTGGTTTTGGTCATTGTGAACATCTGGGTTTGGCAGAGGGCAGCTCAGCCTCGGGGCGCTGCGGCAGAGCGCCGGCTGCACAAAAAGCTTTGTGTGCAAAGGGCCCTGGAGTGATCCCCGTTCCGCACTGGGATGGAGGGGAAGGGCCAGACTGGGGAGAAATGGGCAAAATTTGGGGAAATCTGAAATTGGGAAAGTGATGGTGGTGTTTGGCGGAAAATGGCTGAGATGTGAGAAAAAGAGCCGGGATTTTGGTTAAGGATCAGAGAATACTGTGATTTGTGGGAACACAGAAGAAAGGGCTTGAGGCCACAACCAGCATCAAAACCATAGGCATAAGCAGCATTACCACAGCCAGTGCTGTAACATTTGGTACAGAAATAGGATCCGGAATCCTCGTCCTTGAGGTTGTTCATGGTCATCGTCACCGAGCTCTGCCCGTTGTCCCTGGAGATTGTGAACCAACTCTGCACCGATGGCGCGTGCCATGTGCTGCCACCGTTGCTGATAGCTGCGATGTATTCCAGTGTCTGCCCGGGTCTCTGGCACACCCAGCCCATCCCAAAACTGCCGAAACTGAACCCAGACCCTCGGCAGAGGAGGCGCAGGGACCACGCGGGGGGCTGGAAGTCCCCCCGGCACTCCAGCAGGGTCACGGCTGCCCGGAGCCCTGCGGGATAAAGGAGAGATGGGGATGAGGCCAAAGCTCAACCCTTGACCCAAATCCTGACTCTTGGCCCCAAATTGGGACCCTTGGAGTTCATCATCCTCCCCCCAGGAGAATTCTACCCCTTTGTCCAGCTGGCCACACCCACTTGGAGGCCCTTGACCAATCAGACTTTTGATTTCCATCCTCTCCCCTTTGTCCCGCGGGGCTCCTGGCGGCCATGACCCTGCTGGAGTGCGGGGGGGGGGACCTCCAGCCTCCCGGGGGATCCCTGCGCCTCCTCTGCCGAGGGTCCGGGTTCTGTTTCGGGAGCTACGACATGTTCTGGGTGCGCCAGAGACCCAGGCAGGGGCTGGAGTGGCTCGCGATGATCAGGAACGATGGTGGCAACTCCGGCTACGCGGATTCAGTCAAGGGCCGGGTCACGATCTCCAGGGACAACGGGCAGAGCTCGGTGACGCTGACCATGAACAACCTCAAGGAAGAGGATTCCGGATCCTATTTTTGTGCCAAATGTTACAGCAGTGGTTGTGGTCCTAATATTGATGCTGGTTATGATGACGATGCCAGTGGTGGCCCCTCCTCGATACTGTGCCCACAAACATCCCAAAACCCCACATTCTACTCCCAAATCTTTAGTGTTGGCCACAAATCTTGACCGTTTTTCCCAATCTCCCCAATCATTGTCTCACCTCACACATTTCCATGGGGCTTTCAGAATTTGAAATAATTCTCAAAGGTTCATCCCCAAAACCCTACCCTGTGTGCCCCAGATTTCAGCGGGGTTCACTTGTGACTATTGGCTCCAAACTCAGCTGGCTCTACCCCAAATCTCAGCTATTGGCGCCACACCTCAGCTCTTGGCTCCAAGGCTCAACCAAGGCTCTCAACCCTCAGTGCAAATGGTCAAGATTTGGGAAAAATGGTCCAGATTTGGGTCTGTGGGCATCAACAATGGGGTGAAGGGCAGGAGGGAAGGACCTGGTGAACGGGGATGGAGACAGGACCAAAATTAGAACCAGCAGCATGAGCCTCTCAACCCCAACCATCATAGGCGTTTTTGGCACAGCAATAGGATCCGGAATCCTCGTCCTTGAGGTTGTTCATGGTCAGCGTCTCCGAGCTCTGCCCATTGTCCCTGGAGATCCTGACCCGGCCCTTGACCGACGGCACGTATCTGGGGGTGGAATCATCACCGTTGATCGCCGCAACGTACTCCAGCCCCAGCCTGGGTCTCTGGCGCATCCAGAACATTGCAGATTTTTTGAAATTGAAGCCAGAGGCGCGGCACAGACACGTCAGGGACCCCCCGGGGTTCTGGAGGTGCCCCCCGCACTCCAGCAGGGTCACGGCCGCCCAGAGCCCTGCGGGATAAAGGAGAGATGGGGATGAGGAACCTGATTGGCTGTGGGCATGAATGGGTGGCAGTGTCAGCTGGAAAAAGAGACGGGACCCACCTCAGAGGAGGATGATGAACGCCAAGGGTCCCAATTTGGGGCCCAGAATCAGGATTTGGGTCAGGAGTGTAGCTTTGGCCTCATCCCCATCTCCCCTTTGTCCCACAGGGCTCAGGGCAGCCGTGACCCTGCTGGAATGCGGGGGGGACCTCCAGCCCCCCGGGGGGTCCCTGCGCCTCCTCTGCCGAGGGTCCGGGTAAAGTTTTGGTGGTTATGCCATGCACTGGATCTGCCAGAGACCCGGGCAGGGGCTGGAATTGCACGCGGGAATCAGCAGCGGTGCTGTTTCCTACACCGACTACGCGCCGTCAGTCAAGGGCCGGTTGAGGATATCCAGGGACAACGGGCAGAGCTCGGTGACGCTGACCGTGAACAACCTCAAGGACGAGGATTCCGGAACCTATTTCTGTGCAAATGCGGTGTGTTTGAGTGGTGCGGGAAGCCCTGCTGCTGCTTATATTGACCGTGTCGGTGGTGGCACCACCCCTGTCTGAGCCCCACTGTCCGCAATCCCAGACTGTTCCCCCCCAAGCCTCAGCCCTTGTCCCTTTGTCCCAAATCTCCCCCATTTGCCCCAATGGTCAGCACTTACCCCAAACCCTCCCCTGCTCCTGCCCCACATGTCAACCATTGGCCCTAAACCTTCAAGCCTGGGATCCAGGTCAGGCCTTGCTCTCCAAGAATTCCCATTCCTGCCTGTGCCAGCTCAGCCAATCAGGGCCTGTTGAGATGGCAAAGATTTGGGTGAAATGGGCAAAATTGGGGGAAAGTCCAGAGTTGGGGCAGCAGGGGCAGAGTTTTGGGGGGAAATGGCTGAGATTTGAGGAACAGGACTGGGATTTTGGGGAAGGATCACTGGGGAATGCAGACTTTTGGTGACCATCATGGGGGGTGCCACTGCAGGAACTGTTGCCAAAACCATCAGCAGTGTTACCAGCATCACCATCGAAACGTCTGGCACAGAAATAAACAGCGGAATCCTCATCCTTGGTGTTGTCCATGGCTAGCGTCACCGAGCTCTGCCCGTTGTCCCTGGAGATCCTGAACCGGCCCTGCACCGAATCCGCGTAGTCGGTACTGCCACCTTGGCTGATCTGTGCAATGAATTCCAGCCCCTGCCCGGGTCTCTGTCGATACCAGCCCATCCCAAAACTGCCAAAACTGAACCCGGACCCTCGGCAGAGGAGGCGCAGGGACCCCCGGGGGGCTGGAGGTTCCCCCCCGCACTCCAGAATGGTCACGGCTGCCTGGAGCGCTGCAGGACAAAGGGGAGATGGGGATGAGGAGCCTGATTGAGCAAGCAGGGGAGAAGCGGCGTGGTTTTTGGAAAAAAGGTGTGGGGCTCACCTGGGAGGGGCAGCAGGATCAGCAGGGCCAGGAGCCGGAGGTAGCTCGTGGGTGTGGCCAGGATGTTCCCGAGTTTGGGTCCCGAGGCAAATTGGGGGTCGTTAACAGTGTATTAACTGTGTAATCAATGCAGAATGCTCAGGATGAGGTGTCTAAGTAATTAAAGAATGGATTGGTGTTAATTGCAGTTTTAAGGCATGTTGAGATATGGAAAACTCTGGTAGGGTTTTTGGACCAAACAAGGGGAGTTATGAGAGAAATTGGTGAAGGTTTGGGGATGGGCTCCGGGCGGCCGTGACCCTGCTGGAGTCCAGGGGGCACCTCCAGCCCCCCAGGGGGTCCCTGCGCCTCCTCTGCCGAGGGTCCGGGTTCAGTTTCGGGAGTTTTGGGATGGGCTGGATGAAGCAGAGACCCGGGCAGGGGCTGGAGTTTGTGGCGAGTATCACCAGTGATGCTGCCACTCCCAGATACGTGCCGTCGATGCAGGGTCTGTTCAGGATCTCCAGGGACAAGGGTCAGAGCTTGCTGACACTGACCATGAGCAACCTCAAGGACGAGGATTCCGCAGTTTCTTTCCGCGTTAAACTTTGCAATGGTTATGCTGGCAATGCTTTTGAAGCTGGTTTCGGCCTCAATCATGGCAGTGACCATGACGGTCATCAAACGTCTCCCATCCCAGAGATCCTTCCTGCAAATCCCCGCCCTTCTCCTCAAAACTTCACCATTTTCCCCCAAACTCTGCCCCTGCAGACCCAACTCCCCGTTTTCCCCCAATTTTGCCCATTTCTCCCCATTCTGGCCCTTACCCTCCGTCCCAGTGCAGAACGGGAATCGTTCCAGGGCCCTTTGCACACAAAGCTTTTTGTGCAGCCGGCGCTCTGCCGCAGCGCCCCGACGCTGAGCTGCCCTCTGCCAAACACAGATGTTCACAATGACCAAAACCAGGAACTTTCTCTTTCCTTTCCTGCCCCGGCCGGGCCCCGGCAGCTGCCAGGGAGGAAGTGGGGGGAGGCTGTGGAGCCCCAAAATCGCCGCGTCTTCTCGTCCCTCCCTCCCCCCAACGCTCCAACCTGGGGCTTCACTTCTCCCTCAGCGGCCTTGGTGTCTGGGGCTGCTCCTTGGGGCTGGGCTGGAATCCTCTCTGGGAGCTCTGGACATGGCGACGACGCTGGTGGTGGCCCCAAACCCCTATCCCTGTCTCCCCAAATCTCCCAAAATCCCCAAATCCTGTCCAAAATCCCAACCCTTGACCCCATTCTTGACCTTCTGCCCCAGTGTCCACCACCTTTGCCCCAATTTCCAACTTTCCTCCAGTTTTGCCAATTCCACCCAATTCTCCGCCAGCTCCCTGGACCTGGTTGGAGCAGGCCTGAACTGGAGGCCAGGGGTTAAGATTTGGGGCCCATGGTTGAGTTTTGGGGCAGGAGCAGGGGAGGGTTTGGGGTCAGTGCTGACCATTGGTGCAAATTGGGGAGATTTGGGACCAAGGGTCTATGGGTGAGGTTTGGGGGAAGGGTCTGGGGACCCGAGACGGGGGGGACATGGGGACGGGGGTGGATCCACAACTGGTGTCTTCAGCATATGCAGCAGCATCGCCCCAATTGCCAGCAGCAGCAGATTTGGCACAGAAATAGGATCTGGAATCCTTGTCCTTGAGGTTGTTCATGGTCAGCACCACCGAGCTCTGCCCGTTGTCCCTGGAGATCGTGAACCGGCCCTTGACTGAATCCGCGTAGGCGGTGTCCCCACCATCATTCCTGATCCCCGCGACCCACTGCAGCCCCTTCCCGGGTCTCTGTCGGGCCCATTGCATGGAAAAACTCCCAAAATCGGACCCGGACCCTTGGCAGAGGAGGCGCAGGGACCCCCCTGGGGGCTGGAGGTGCCCCCCGCACTCCAGCAGGGTCACCGGCCACCCGGAGTCCTGCGGGACAAAGGGGAGATGGGGATGAGAAACCTGATTGGCTGTGGACATGGAGTGGGTGTGGCCAGTTGGAAAAGTGTCAGGACCCACTTTGTAGAAGGATGAGAAGGTCCAGGGGTCAGAATTTGTGGCCAAGAGTCAGGATTTGGGTCAAGGGTTGAGCTTTGGCCTCATCCCCATCTCCCCTTTGTCCCGCAGAGTTCCGGGTGGCCGTGACCCTGCTGGAGTGCAGGGGGGACCTCCAGCCCCCCAGGGGAACCCTGTGCCTCCTCTGCCGAGGGTCCGGGTTCAGTTTCAGGAGCTACGACATGTACTGCATGCGCCAGAGACCCGGGCAGGGGCTGGAGTAGCTCGCAGGGATCAACACTGGTGGCAGCGCCTGGGACTCGCCATCGGTCAAGGGCCGGGTCATGATGTCCCGGGACAACGGGCAGAGCTCGGTGACGCTGATCATGACCAACCTCAAGGACGAGGATTCCAGATCCTATTTCTGTGGGAAATCTGCTTATAACAATTGGGGTACTGGTGCTGGTGTGGATGGTTTTGGTCCGGACCCTGTGGCCGTGTCCCGACTCGCTCCCAAATCCAAGACCCTTCCCTGAAACCCAAACACTTTTGCCCATTCCTGGCTCTGTCCCAACCCTAAAGTGGTTCTTCGCCAAATTCTCCGTACCTGGCAAGAAAGTTTACCCAAGTCTTAACCTTGGCCTTAAATCTCCACTTTTAATTCAACGTTTTGGGGCACAAAGAGGAGATTTGGGGTCAGGAGTTGTGGTTTGGGGTCAGCGGGTGAGAATTGGCCTGAGGCAGAGCAAGGTTGGGATCAATGGCCATGGGCTGGGTGTGGGCTGGGGGTTTGGGGGAAGGGTCTGGGTAATGGGGACAGGGGAGAACACGGGGATGGGGGGCACAGTCAAATCTATAAACAACACCAGCAGGATCATACCAAACATTAACAGATTTGGCACAGAAAGAGGTGGCAGAATCCTCGTCCTTGAGGTTGTTCATGGTCAGCGTCACCGAGCTCTGCCCATTGTCCCTGGAGATCCTGAACCGGCCCTTGACTGAGGGTGCGTAGCCGGTGCTGGAACCATCTTTCTTTATCCCCCCGAGCCACTCCAGCCCCTGCCCGGGTCTCTGGCGGACCCACTGCATCCCAAAATTCCCAAAACTGAACCCGGACCCTCGGCAGAGGAGGCGCAGGGACCCCATGGGGGGCTGGAGGTCCCCCCCGCACTCCAGCAGGGTCACGGCCGCCCGGAGCCCTGCGGGACAAAGGGGAGATGGGGATGGGAAACCTGATTGGTCGAAGGCCTCAAAGTGGGTGTGGCCAGTTTGGAAAAGGTTCGGGACCCACCTGGGAGGAGGATGATGAACTCCAAGGGTCCCAATTTAGGGCCAAGAGTCAGGATTTGGTTCAAGGGTTGAGCTTTGGCCTCATCCCCAACTCCCCTTTGTCCCGCAAGGCTCCGGGCGGCCGTGACCCTGCTGGAGTGCGGGGGGGACCTCCAGCCCCCCGGGGGGGTCCCCGACGTTGCTGTGCCGAGGGTCCGGGTTTGATTTCGGGAGTTTTAACATGGGCTGGATGCGTCAAAGATCTGGGAAGGGGCTGGAATTCGTGGCAGGGATCAGCAACAACGGTTCCAGCATTGGCTACGCTCCATCGGTGCAGGGCCGGTTCAGGATCTCCAGGGACAACGGGCAGAGCTCAGTGACGCTGACCATGAACAACCTCAAGGACGAGGATTCCGGATCCTATTTCTGCGCCAAGGGTGTTTACAGTTGTTGTGCTGCTTCTGATGCTGATGTTGGTGATGTTGTTCTTGGCCCTGTTCCTGTCCCTGTGCCCGAGATCATTCCCTCCAAACCCTGACTCCACTCCTGAGCCTGCGTCCCAACCCTGCCCTGCTCTGGCCCCAAATCTCACCTCCTAGCCCCAAATCTCCGCTCCTGGGCCCTCCGGATCCTGTTTATGCGGGAAATTTCCTGGTACCGAGGGCGCTTATGCTGCCGGTTATATTGAGAGTGCCGACCATGGCCCCATCCCCAACCAGCATTAGGAGCAGCACCGTAACCATCAGCATCCTTGGCACAGAAATAGGATCCGGAATCCTCGTCCTTGAGGTTGTTCATGGTCAGCGTCACCGAGCTCTGCCCGTTGTCCTTGAAGATCCTGAACCGACCCTTGAACGATGGTGCGTAGTAGGTGGCACCATTGCTCCAGATTGCTGCGATCCACTCCAGCCCCTGCCCGGGTCTCTGGCCCATCCAGCCCATCCTAAAACTGCTGAAACTGAACCCGGACTCTCGGCAGAGGAGGCACAGGGACCCCCCGGGGGAGTGGAGGTCTCCCCGTACTCCAGCAGGGTCACAGCCGCTCTCCGATCCCCAACCCTTCCCCAGTTTTGTCCCAAATTCCCTTTGTGTGGACTCAAATATTCTACAGAGGTTTCCATTATTTTACAGTACCTTAAACCCTGCAATTAGCCCCAATCCACCCATTTTTACTTTGACAGCTCCACCTGGCTTTTGCATCGCCCCATCCCAATCTCCCCTTTGTCCCGCAGGGCTCCGGGCGGCCGTGACCCTGCTGGAGTGCAGGGGGGACCTCCAGCCCCTAGGGGGGTCCCTGACGTTGCTCTGCATTGGCTCTGGGTTTACTTTGGCCAATCACGACATGTTCTGGGTGCGCCAGAGACCCGGGCAGGGGCTGGAGTTTGTCGCCCACATCACCTACAATGGAGGCTACACCATCTACAGTCCGTCACTGCAGGGTTGGTTCAGGATCTCCAGGGACAACGGGCAGAGCTGATGGCGCGTAGTAGGCACTGCCACTGCTGCTGATACTTGCGACTGGCTCCAGCCCCTGCCCGGGCCTCTGCCGATACCAGCCCATCCCAAAACTGCCAAAATCAAACCCGGACCCTCGGCAGAGGAGGCGCAGAGCCCCTCCGGGGGGCTGGAGGTCCCCCCCACACTCCAGCAGGGTCACGGCCGCCCGGAGCCCTGCGGGACAAAGGGGAGATGGGCACCAGGACCAGCTGTGCCATTCTCATTCCCAGCACAGAGTCAGACACCATTCCCTCTTTCTCTCTGTCTCTCTCTCTCCCTCTCTCTCTCTGTCTCTCTCTTTCTGTCACAGGATTTTTCCTGGAGCAGCACAGAGAGAAGATGAAGATGAAACAATTCCCATCTCTCCCCTCTGCTCCTGCTGTTTCTGCGCGTGTGGAAAGTGTCGGGGGATTGTTCCCCTCCAGGGATTCGTCATTTGGGTTCTGCTGGAGATTGTTTTGTTTCCTTGGCCAATGGGCTCGAAGCCATGACCTGGATCTGTCAGACTCTCACGGGGATTCTTTAGGATTTTTTCGTGTCTTTTGTACGGAATTCTTTAGTATCTCTTTAGTATAGATGTAATATAGCATTAATGAGATATAATATAGTATTAATGAGATATAATATATTATTAATGAGATGTAAAATAGTAATAATGAGATATAATATTGTATTAATGTAATAAAATATATTATTAATGTAAGATAGTAGAGATTTAATAGAGCAATTGTTCAGCATTCTGACTTATGGAGTCAGATGCCGTGACCCTGCTGGAATGCGGGGGGGACCTCCAGCCCCCCGGGGGGTCCCTGCACCTCCTCTGCCGAGGGTCCGGGTTCAGTTTTGGGAATTTTGGGATGCAGTGGGTCCACCAGACAGCCAGGCAGGTGACGGAGTGGCTCGGGGGGATTAAGAGCGATGGTTCCAGCACCGGCTACGCACCCTCAGTCAAGGGCCCGTTCACGATCTCCAGGGACAATGGGCAGAACTCGGTGACGCTGACCATGAACAACCTCAAGGACGAGGATTCCGGATCCTATTTCTGTGCCAAATCTGTTAATGTTTGGTATGATCCTGCTGGTGTTGTTTATAGATTTGACTGTGCCCCCCATCCCCGTGTCCCCCCCCGTCCCCGTTGCTCAGACCCTTCTCCCAAACCCCCAGCCCACACCCAGCCCTTGACCATTGATCCCAACCTTGCTCTGCCTCCGCCCCAATTCTCACCCGCTGACCCCAAACCACAGCTCCTGAGCCCAAATCTCCTCTTTGTGCCCCAAACTTTGAATTAAAAGTGGAGATTTAAGGCCAAGGTTAAGACTTGGGTCAACTTTCTTGAAAGGTATGGAGAATTAGGGGAAGAACCGCTCTAGGGTTGGGACAGAGTCAGGAATGGGCAAAAGTGTTTGGGTTTCAGTGAAGGGTCTGGTATTTGTGGACCGGTCGGGACACGGCCACAGGGTCCGGACCAAAACCATCCACACCAGCACCAGTACGCCAATTGTTATAAGCAGGTTTCCCGCAGAAATAGGATCCAGAATCCTCGTCCTTGAGGTTGTTCATGATCAGCGTCACCGAGCTCTGCCCGTTGTCCCTGGAGATCATGACCCGGCCCTGAACTGACGGCGCGTATCTGGGAGGGGCGCCATCACCGGTGACACTCGCCACAAACTCCAAACCCTTCCCCGGTCTCTGGTGGGTCCAGCCCACCCCAAATTGTTCAAAACTGAACCCGGACCCTCGGCAGAGGAGGCACAGGGGCCCCCCAGGGGGCTGGAGGTCCCCGGTGCACTCCAGCAGGGTCACGGCCGCCCGCAGCCCTGCGGGACAAAGGGGAGATGGGATGGACAAAGCTCAATCCTTGACCAAAATTCTGATTATTGGCCCCAAATTCTGATCCCTGGATCTTCTCATCCTTCTCCAAAGTGGGTCCCGACTCTTTTCCAACTGGCAAAATCCACTTTGAGGTCCTCAACCAATCAGGTTTCCCATCCCCATCTCCCTTTTGTCCCGCAAGGCTCCGGGCAGCCGTGACCCTGCTGGAGTGTGGGGGGGACCTCCAGCCCCCCGGGGGGTCCCTGCGCCTCCTCTGCCGAGGGTTTGGGTTCGATTTTGGGAACTTTGGGATGGGCTGGATGCGCCAGAGACCCGGGCAGAGTTTGGAGTTTGTGGCGAGTGTCACCAGTGATGGCGCCACTCCCAGATACGCGCCGTCATTCAAGGGCCGGTTCAGGATCTCCAGGGAGAACGGGCAGAGCTTGGTGTTGCTGACCATGAACAACCTCAAGGACGAGGATTCCGCCGTTTATTTCTGCGTCAAACTTTGCAATGGTAGCGCTGGCAATGCTATTGACGCTGGTTTTGGCATCAATCCTGATAGTGACCATGATGGTCAGCAAATGTTTCCAGTCCCAGAGATCCTTCCCCAAAATCCCAGCTGTGTTCCTAAAATATTGACCATTTCCCCCAAACTCCACCGTCACTTCCCCAATTCCCAATTTCCCCCAGTTTCCCCCATTTCTCCCCATTCTGGCCCTTACCCTCCGTCCCAGTGCAGAACGGGGATCGCTCCAGGCCCCTTTGCTCACAAAGCTTTTTGTGCAGCCGGCGCTCTGCCGCAGCGCCCAGAGGCTGAGCTGCCCTCTGCCAAACACAGATGTTCACAATGACCAATTCAGGAACTTTCTGTTTCCTTTCCTGCCCCGGCTGGGCCCCGGCAGCTGCCGGGGAGGAAGTGGGGGGAGGCTGTGGAGCCCCACAACCACGGCGTCCTCTCCTCCCTCCCTCCCTCCCTCGCTCCCACCTGGGGCTTCACTGCTCCCTCAGCGGCCGCGGTGTCTGGGGCTGCTCCTTGGGGCTGGGACTGGAATCCTCTCTCTGGAGAAAACCCCCTTTTTTTACACAAAAAACACAGGAAATTTTGGGGAAATTAAATTTTTCAAATTGATCTCGAGTCGAGGGTTCCATGTTGAGCGAAGCAGAGGGGTCAAAGGGTGGAGTCACCTGGAACCTTCCATCGGTCAAGGGCAGGGTCAGAATGGCCAAGGAGAGCTCAGGAGCCAAAATGGCCCCGAGTGGGCCTCGAGCTGAGGTTTGGGGCCAGGAGCTGAGAATGTGGGGCAGAGTCAGGGCAGGGTTGGGGCACGGGGACAGGAATGGGGTCAGGGGCTGGGGATTGGGGAAGGGTCTGAGGAACGGGGACAGGGGGGACACAGCGATAAGGGTGGCATCAAAACGATCAGGAGCAGCCCAACCATCAGCAGCAGCTTTGGCACAGAAATAGGGTCCGAAATCCTCATCCTTGAGGTTGTTCATGGTCAGCGTCGCTGAGCTGTGCCCGTTGTCTCTGGAGATCCTGAACCGGCCCTGGACTGAATCCGCGTAGCCGATGCCTCCTCCAGTGTTGAACCCTGCGACGAATTGCAGCCCCTGCCCGGGTCTCTGTCGATACCAGCTCATCCCAAAACCGCCGAAACTGAACCCGGACCCTGGGCAGAGGAGGCGCAGGGACCCCCCGGGGGGCTGGAGGTGCCCCCTGCACTCCAGCAGGGTCACGGCCGCCCGGAGCCCTGCGGGACAAAGGGCAGATGGGGATGAGGGAAAAAATCCACCCAAATGTTGATTCCTGCCTGCAGATTCTGTTGTTGGGCTTAAATTGTGGCACTTTCTCCACCTCCCGATCCTGCTGGCCCTCCCAGGTGGGTTCAGGTCCCTTTTGGGATCTGGTCACCCCCAGCACAGCCCACGCCCGGGTCCGGCTCCTCATCTCCATCTCCCCTTTGTCGCGCAGGGCTCCAGGCGGCCGTGACCCTGCTGGAGTGCGGGGGGGACCTCCAGACCCCCGGGGGGTCCCTGCGCCTCCTCTGCCGATCGCCCGGGATCGAATTTGGGATTATTGTGATGGCATGGATCCGCCAGAGACCCGGGCAGGTGCTGGAGTTCATTGCAGATATCAGCACCACTGGCAGAACCAGCTACGCGGATTCGGTCACGGGCCGGTTCACGATCTCCAGGGACAACGGGCAGAGCTCGGTGACGCTGACCATGAACAACCTCAAGGACAAGGATTCTGGATCCTATTTCTGTGCCAAATATGCTTATACTCCTGATGGTACTTATGGTGTTGCTTCTATTGACGTGCCGGGCTTGGCCCTATTCCCCATCCAGCACTGCAGGAGCATCAGGGCATAGGACGGTCGGGACAGACGGATGGACACGAGAGATCTCTGCAGCCAGGTCTGGAATTTGGGGTTTATTTCAAAGGACGAACTGTAGGGCCCTGCTGGGAGCCGCCAGGCACAGCTGGAGCAGGGCTGAGAGAAGAGAGGGGAGAGCGGGAGAGAGGGTAAGAGAGTAAGAGAGTAAAAAAGGTAAATGAGTAAAAGGGTGACAGAATAGAAAGGGTAAGAGAGTGAAAGAGTCAGTGAATAAAATGGTAAGAGTGTAAAAGGGTAAGAACATAAAACTGTAAGAGAATAAAAGGGTAAGAGAGTGAGGTTCCCACCACAATACAATTAATCTTCTCTGTAGAATATTCTAATTCTCACTAACCAATCTGGTCCAATATACAAACCCTACAGCATTTACATACAGCCTATAAGAATCGTTTCATTACCATACTCTATTACATTTTAAACCCTAAAATCCCCTCTTTGGGCCCTTCTGCCAAGCTGTGGGGTCTACTCTGACCCTTGGAGCTGTCTGCAATCACAGGGTGTTGTTCCATCAAAATGGGATCACCTTCAGCCGGCCACGCTGAACAATTGTTTTGCAGTTTTTCAGTAACTGAGGGATCTCAAAGGTTGCTTTCCTTTCAATCTCGCTGATGGTTTCCATATTCTCAAAATCTTTTGCCAAGCAATCACATTGATAAGGCTTTCCTGTTTCATCTTCCCCAACCAGCATCAGCATAAGCACCGTCACCATCGGTGTCCTTGGCGCAGAAATAGGATCCGGAATCCTCGTCCTTGAGGTTGTTCATGGTCAGCGTCACCGAGCTCTGCCCATTGTCCCTGGACATCATGAACCGGCCCTTGACTGAATCCGCGTAGATGGTGCTGCCACCACTGCTGCTGATGGTTCCCACCCACTGCAGCCCCTGCCCGGGTCTCTGGCGGATCCAGGCCATTCCAAAATTGCCGAAACTGAACCCGGACCCTCGGCAGAGGAGGCGCAGGGACCCCCCGGGGGGCTGGAGGTCCCCCCCGCACTCCAGCAGGGTCACGGCCGCCCAGAGCCCTGCGGGAAAAAAGGGAGATGGGGATGAGGGGTTGCAAAAGTCAGGTGGAGGTGTCCAATTAATTAATGGGTGGATTGAGGCTCATTGCAGGGTTAAAAGCACTTTACAATACTGGAAATCTCTGCTGGAGATTTGGGGCGAGACAAAGGGAATTTGGGGCAAACCAGTGAAGGTTTGGGGATGGGCAGCGGCTGTGACCCTGCTGGAGTGCGGGGGGGAACTCCAGCCCCCCAGGGAGTCCCTGCCCCTCTTCTGCCGAGGGTCTGGGTTCGATTTTGGACAATTTGGGATGGGCTGGATGCGCCAGAAACCCGGGCAGGTGCTGGAACACATCGGAGGGTTCAAAAGCGATGGGAGCACCTACTACACGCCATTCAGGGGACGGGTCACGATCTCCAGGGACAACGGGCAGAGCTCGGTGACGCAGACCATGATCAACCTCAAGGACGAGGATTCAGGATCCTATTTCTGTACCAGATGCAGTGATGGTGGTTGGAATGGATCTGCTGTTTCTTATGGTGACAATCCTCAGCATCGCCCCAAGCCCGCAGCCCGAGTTCCCAAAATTTCCCAAAATCCTTCTCCCAAATCCCAACCCTTGACCCCATTTTTGAACTTACTCCCCAGTCTCCACTATTGCTGTCCGAATTCCTGATATTTCCCCAATTTTGCCCATTTCACTAAAATCTCCCCCAGCTCCCGGGCCCTGATTGGAGGAGGCCTGAACTGGAGCCCAAGGGAGAAGGTTTGGGGCCAATGGTTGAGTTTTGGGGCAGGAGCAGGGGAGGGTTTGGGGTCAGTGCTGACCATTGTTGCAAACGGGGGAGATTTGGGACAAAGGGTCAAGGGCTGAGGTTTGGGGGACAATTTGAAGGGAGAATCTCAGTTTGGGGACAGGTGAGGACACAGAGATGGGGTGAATCCACCACGGCCATCGTCACTATAAGCAGCAGCACCAGCACCATGACCACTACCAGCACGTTTGGCACAGAAATAGGATCCGGAATCCTAGTCCTTGAGGTTGTTCATGGTCAGCGTCACTGAGCTCTGCCCATTGTCCCTGGAGATCGTGACCCAGCTGTTGACTGAATCCGCATAGCCGGAGTTGCCACCATCGTTCCTGATCCATGCGAGCCACTCCAGCCCCTGCCCGTGTCTCTGTCGGATCCAGAACATGTCGTAGCTCCCGAAACTGAACCCGGACCCTCGGCAGAGGAGGCGCAGGGACCCCCCAGGGGTCTGGAGGTCCCCCCCGCATTGCAGCAGGGTCACGGCCGCCCAGAGCCTTGCGGGACAGAGGGGAAATGGGGATGAGGCCAAAGCTCAACCCTTGACCCAAACCCTGACTCTGGGCCCGAAACTGGAACCTTTGGACCACCCCATCCTAGTTGTCCTGCTCCGGCTGCCCCTCTAAGGTGAGTCCCACCCCATTTTCCGGTTTGACACACCAACTTTGGGGCCCTCAGCCAATCAGGTTCCTCATTCCCATCTCCCCTTTTTCCCGCAGGACTCTGGGCGGCCGAGACCCTGCTGGAGTGCGGGGGGGACCTCCAGCCCCCCGGGGGTTCCCTGCGCCTCCTCTGCCAAGGGTCCGGGTTCGTTTTCGGTAGTTTTGGGATGGGCTGGCATTGCCAGAGACCCGGACAGGGGCTGGAAGCAGTAACCAGTATCAGCAGCCATGGCAGCGCCTACTATGCGGATTCGGTCAAGGGCCGGTTCAGGATCTCCAGGGACAATGGGCAGAGCTCGGTGACGCTGACCATGAACAACCTCAAGGTCGAGGATTCCGGATCCTATTTCTGTGCCAAACGTGCTGGTAGTGGTCATGGTGCTGGTGCTGCTGCTTATAGTGACGATGGCCGTGGTGGATTCACCCCATCTCTGTGTCCTCACCTGTCCCCAAACTGAGATTCTCCCTTCAAATTGTCCTCCAAACCTCAGCCCTTGACCCTTTGTCCCAAATCTCCCCCGTTTGCAACAATGGTCAGCACTGACCCCAAACCCTCCCCTGCTCCTGCCCCAAAACTCAACCATTGGCCCAAAACCTTTACCCCTGGCCTCCAGTTCAGGCCTTGCTCTCCAAGAGTTCCCATTTCTGCCTGTGCCAGCTCAGCCAATCAGGGCCTGGGGAGCTGGGGGAGATTTGGGTGAAATGGGCAAAACTGTGGAAACATCAGGAATTCGGACAGCAATAGTGGAAACTGGGGAGTAAGGTCAAGAATGGGGTCAAGGGTTAGGATTTGGGAGAAGTAATTTGGGAAATATTGGGAACTCGGGCAGCGGCCTTGGGGCGATGCTGAAGATTGTCACCATAAGCAACAGCAGCACCATTCCAACCACCATCACTGCATCTGGCACAGAAATAGGATCCGGAATCCTCATCCTTGAGGTTGATCATGATCAGCGTCACCGAGCTCTGCCCGTTGTCCCTGGAGATCGTGACCCGGCCCCTGAACGATGGTTCGTAGTAGGTGCTGCCATCGCTTTTGATCCCTCCAATGTGTTCCAGCCCCTGCCCGGGTCTCTGGCACATCCAGCGCATCCCAAATTGTCCAAAATCGAACCCAGCCCCTCGGCAGAGGAGGCGCAGGGACCCCCCGGGGGCTGGAGGTCCCCGCCGCACTCCAGCAGGGTCACGGCCGCCCGGAGCCCTGCGGGACAAAGGGGAGATGGGGATGAGGCCAAAGCTCAATCCTTGACCCAAATCCTGACTCTTGTCCCAAAACTGGGACCCTTGGGGTTCATCATCCTCCCCCCAGGTGGGTCCTGTCCCTTTTTTCCCGTTGGCCACGCCCACTTTGAGATTCTCAACCAATCAGGTTTCCAATCCCCATCTCCCCTTTGTCCCTCAGGGCTCCGGGCGGCGGTGACCCTGCTAGAGTGCGGGGGGGACCTCCAGCCCCCCGGGGGGTCCCTGCGCCTCCTCTGCCGAGGGTCCGGGTTCGATTTTGCAATTTTGGGATGGGCTGGATGCGGCAGAGACCCGGGCAGGGGCTGGAGTTTTTCGCGAGTGTCACCAGTGATGGCGCCACTCCCAGATACGCCCTGTCATTCAAGGACCGGTTCAGGATCTCCAGGGACAACGGGCAGAGCTCGGTGACGCTGACCATGAACAACCTCAAGGACGAGGATTCCGCCGTTTATTTCTGCGCCAAGTGTGCTGCTAATAATTACGCTGAAAGTGCTGGTCGTATTGACGATGCCCAAGGTGTCCCCTCTCCCATCCCTGTGATCCCCCTGTCCCCATTGCCCAGACCCTTCCCCCAAACCCCCAGCCCACACCCAGCCCTTGACCATTGATCCCAACCTTGCTCTGCCTCAGCCCCAATTCTCACCCACTGACCCCAAACCACAACTCCTGACCCCAAATCTCCACTTTGTGCCCTAAAACTTTGCTCTGACGGTCGGGGTTTGAGGCCAAGGGTCCCGATTTTGGGACAAAGGTTGAGGATTCGTGTCAGCGGCTGCTGCTGCAGGGAGCACAAAATGGGGATTTGGGGCAGATTCGGGCGATTTTTGGGGCCAATATAGATGGATTTGGGGCAGAACGCAATTGGGGGTTTTGGCGCTGCGGTTGGTGGTGTTGGAAATGGGGGAGATCTGGGGCAAAGGGTCAAGAATGGAGTCAAGGACTGAGATTTGGGGGAAGGGTCTGGGGCCTGGGGGCAGGAGGGGACCCAGTCAAGGGGAAGAGACCAAGAGCAGAGACACCATTACCCCAACTGGCACCAGCAGCCTTGGTGCAGAAATAGGATCCGGAATCCTCGTCCTTGAGGTTGTTCATGGTCGGCGTCACCGAGCTCTGCCCGTTTTCCCTGGAGATCCTGAACCGGCCCTGCACTTAACCCGCGTACTCGGTGTAAGCACCACTGCTGATCCCCGTTAGCCACTCCAGCCCCTGCCCGGGTCTCTGGCGGATCCAGAACATTCCATAATCCTCAAAAGTGAACCTGGACCCTTGGCAGAGGAGGCGCAGGGACCCCCCCGGGGGCTGGAGGTCCCCCCCGGACTCTAGAAGGGTCACGGCTGCTCCCCCATCCCCAAACCTTCACCGGTTTTTCCCCAAATTCCCTTTTTTTGTCCCCAAACATCCAACAGATGTATCCTGAATGGTAAAGTGCCTTAAACCGCGCAATTAGCCCCAATCCACCCATTAATTACTTGGACAGCTCTGCCTGACTTTTGCATCGCCCCATCCCCATCTCCCCTTTTTCCCGCAGGGCTCTGGGCAGCCGTAACCCTGCTGGAGTGCGGGGGGGACCTCCAGCCCCCGGGGGGGTCCCTGCGCCTCCTCTTCCGGGAGTCCGGGTTCAGTTTTGGGAATTTTGGGATGGATTGGTTTCGCCAGAGACCTGGGCAGGGCCTGGAGTGGGTCGCGGGGATCAGCTACACTGGTGGAGGCACCGGCTACGCAGATTCAGTCAAGGGCCGGTTCAGGATCTCCAGGGACAACGGGAAGAGCTCGGTGACGCTGACCATGAACAACCTCAAGGACGAGGATTCTGGATCCTAATTCTGTGACAAATTCTACAACGCTCGTGCTGGTGCTCCTCATATTGATGTCGGTGCCACCCCCATCTCCGTGTGCCCCCCTGTCCCCATTGCCCAGACCCTTCCCCCAAAGCCCCAGCCCACACCAAGCCCTTGACCGTTGATCCCAACCTTGCTCTTCCTCGGCCCCAATTCTCACCCGCTGACCCCAAACCACAACTTCTGAGCCCAAATCTCTTTGTGCCCCAAGACTTTGCTCCAAAGCTGGCAGTCAAGGATTGGGTCAAAATTTCGGTCAACTCTAATGACAAGAGTGCAGAATTTTGTGCCGAGCCAGTGCAGGGCTGAGACATGGGCTCAGGAATGGGGCCGGGGCTGAGGTTTGGAAGAAGGGTCGGGGACAGCCGGTCTGGGTGGGACAAGGGCATGGGTTCAACACGATCAGGACCAGAACCCCAATTGCTGTAGGCACCCTTGGCACAGAAATAGGATCCGAAATCCTCGTCCTTGCGGTTGTTCATGGTCAGCGTCACCGAGCTCTGCCCGTTGTCCCTGGAGATCGTGAACCAGTCCTTGACCGACAGCGCGTAGTCGGGGTAACCACCATTGTTGTTCACACTCACGACGCATTCCAGGGCCTGCCCGGACCTCTGACGACACCAGCCCATCCCAAATTGTCCAAAATTGAACCCGGACCTTCAGCAGATGAGGCGCAGGGACCCCCCGGGGGGCTGGAGGTGGCCCTCCGCACTCCAGCAGGGTCACGGCTGCCCGGAGCCCTGCGGGACAAAGGGGAGATGGGGATGAGGGAAAAGCTCAACCCTTGACCTAAATCCTGACTATTGGCCTCAAATTGGGACCATTGGAGTTCATCACCCTGCTCACAGGTGGGTCCTGCCCCATTTTTGAAGCATGCTATGCGAAGTTGGGCACTCTTCACCAATCAGGCTTCCCATCCCGATCTCCCCTTTGTCCCACAGGGCTCCGGGCGGCCGTGACCATGCTGGAGTGCAGGGGGGACCTCCAGCCCCCCGGGGGATCCCTGCGCCTCCTCTGCCGAGGGTCCGGGTTCGATTTTGGCAGTTTTGGGATGGGCTGGTATCGCCAGAGGCCCGGGCAGGCGCTGGAGGACATTGCAGATATCAGTAATGGTGGCAGCACCTGGTATGCGCCATCCGTCAAGGGCCGGTTCACGATCTCCAGGGACAACGGGCAGAGCTCAGTGACGCTGACCATGAACAACCTCAAGGACGAGGATTCCGCCATCTATTTCTGTGGGAAATCTGTCAATACTGGTGCTCCTGTTGCTGTTGCTCATGGGGACCTTCCCAGTGATTGCCCCACACCAAAAACAGCACCCCCACCTGTCCCCATTCCCCAGACCCTTCCCCAGCTCCCAGCCCCTTACCCCGCCCGTGACCATTTCTCCATTTCCCTTTCCCATCTCCGGCCCCAAACCCCAACCCTTGGCCGTTGATCTTCCCCCTAACTCTGCCCCAAAGGTCAGCACTGGGCCCGGGGCTGGGGACACGAATTCAGTCACCGAGAGTGGGGACGAGGGCTGGGATTTGGGGGAGGGTCTGGGGAATGGGGTCATTTGGGGACACGACGATGTGGGTGGAGTCAATAGCATTGGCATCATGGTCATTGCCATCCGCCCCAGCGGCTTTGGCACAGAAATAGGATCCGGAATCCTCGTCCTGCAGGTCTATCATGGTCAGGGCTGTGTCGCTCTGCCCGTTGTCCCTGGAGATCCTGACCTGTCCCGTGACCGACGGGGCGTAGTGGGTGTAACCCTCAGAGCTGTGGATCCCCGCGAGCCATTCCAGCCCCTGCCCGGGGCTCTGGCGTATCCAGAGCATGGAGTGACCCCCGAAACTGAACCCGGACCCTCGGCACAGCAACGTCAGGGACCCCCCGGTGGGCTGGAGATGCCCCCCACACTCCAGCAGGGTCACGGCCACCCGTAGCCCTGCAGGACAAAGGGGAGATGAGGGAAATCAAAACTCTGATTTGTCAAGGGCCTCCAAGTGGTTGTGGCCAGCTGGACAAAGGAGTAGAATGCTCCTGGCGGGAGGATGATGAACTCTAAAGATCCCAATTTGGGGCCAAGAGTCAGGATTTGGGTCAAGGTTTGAGCTTTGGCCTCATCCTCATCTCCCCTTTGTCCCGCAGCGCTCCGGGCGGCCGTGACCCTTCTGGCGTGCAGGGGGCACCTCCAGCCCCCCGGGGGGTCCCTGCGCCTCCTCTGCCGAGGGTCCGGGTTTGATTTTTGGAGTTTTTCCATGCAATGGGTCCGACAGAGACCTGTGCAGGGCCTGGAGTTGCTTGCAGGGATCAGCGGAAATGGTTCAAGCACGTACTACACGCCGTCAGTTAAGGGCCTGTTCAGGATCTCCAGGGACAATGGGCAGAGCTCGGTGACGCTGACCATGAACAACCTCAAGGACGAGGATTCCGGGTCCTATTTCTGTGCCAAATGTGACAATGGTTATGCTGGTGGTGATGCTGCTGCTCTTTTTGCCTTCACTTCTGGTGGTGACCAGGATGGTCGTGAAATTTCTCCAATCCCAGTGATGCTTCCACCAAGTTTCGGCCTTTCTAAAACCTCAACCATTTTCCCCCAAACCCTGCCATTGTGCCCCAACTCTGAGCTTTCCTCCAATTTTGCCCATTTCTCCCTAATCTCTTCCAAGTCCCGGGCCCTGATTGGAGGAGGCCTGAACTGGAGGCCAGGGGTTAAGGTTTGGGGCCAATGGTTGAGTTTTGGGGCAGGAGCAGGGGAGGGTTTGGGGTCAGTGCTGACCATTGACGCAAATGGGGGAGATTTGGGACAAGGGGTCAAGGGCTGAGGTTTGGGGGGAAGGGTCTGGGTTTGGGGACGGGGGGCTCAGACAGGGGTGATGCCAAAACTGGCATGGTCAATATGAGTAGGAGCAGCAGGCCAACCAGCATTAGCAGATTTCCCACAGAATTAGGATCCGGAATCCTCGTCCTTGAGGTTGTTCATGGTCAGCGTCACCGAGCTCTGTCTGTTCTCCCTGGAGATCCTGAACCGGCCCTGGACTGATGGCGTGTACTCGGTGTAACCTCCATTGTTGCTGACACTCGCAACGTGTTCCAGCCCCTGCCCGGGCATCTGGCACATCCAGCCCATCCCAAATTGTCCAAAATCGAACCCGGCCCCTCGGCAGAAGAGGCGCAGGGACCTCCCGGGGGGCTGGCGGTCCCCCCCGCACTCCCACAGAGTCACGGCCGCCCGGAGCCCTGCGGGAAAAAGGGGAGAAGCGGGTGAGGGAAAACCCCAGCCCTTGACCCAAATCCTGACTCTTGGCCCCAAATTGGGACCCTTGGACCTCCCCATCCTCCAGCTCCTCCTCCTGCTGGCGTTCCCAGGTGGGTTCCGCCCACCTCCAGATCTGGCTACGCCCAGTTTATTTTGGAAACTAGAATTGATTGGCATCTGACCCCATGACTCAGAATGCTGCACAATTGCGGCATTCAATCTATACTATATTACATTAATTCTATATCTACTTAATACTTTATTATATCTCATTAATAACATATTATATTTCATTTCTGCTATATTGCCACTCCACTAAAGAGATACTAAAAGAATTCAGTACAAAAGACACTAAAATATCCTATAGAAAACCTGTGAGCAATTAAATTGAAAAAGAATAAGAATCAATCAGCAGAACCCAACTGGTAAATGCCTGGAGGGGAACAATCCCCCCGATACATTCCACATGTGCAGAAACAGCAGGAGCAGCGATGAGAGATGGGAATTGTTTCATCTTCTTCTTCTCCCTGTGCTGCTCCGGGAAAAATAATGAGAGAGAGAGACAGAGAGAGAGGGAGAGAGGGAGAGAGGGAGAGAGAGAGGGACAGAGGGAGAGAGGGAGAGAGAGGGAGAGAGACAATGGTGTCTGACTTTGTGCAGGGAACGGGAATGGCACAGCCAGGCCCCGTGCCCATCTCCCCTTTGTCCCGCAGGGCTCCGGGCAGCCGTGACCCTGCTGGAGTGCAGGGGGGACCTCCAGCCCCCCGGGGGTTCCCTGCGCCTCATCTGCCGAGGGTCCGAGTTTGATTTCGGGAGTTTTGGCATGCAATGGGTGCGCCAGAGACCCGGGCAGGGGCTGGAATACATTGCCAGTATCAGCAGCAGTGGTGGCAGCACCGACAACGCGCTGTCGGCCAAGGGCCGGGCCACGATCTCCAGGGACAACGGGCAGAACTCGGTGATGCTGACCGTGAACAACCTCAAGGATGCGGATTCGGCCGTTTATTTCTGTGCCAAACGTGGTACTAGTGGTTATGGTGGTGCTGCTGCTTAGAGTGACGATGGCCGTGGTGCATCCATCCCTATCTCTGGGTCCTCACCTCTCCCCAAACTGAGACTCCTCCTTCAAATTATCCCCCAAGCCTCAGCCCTTGACCCTTTGTCCCAAATCTCCCCCATTTGCACCAATTGTCAGCACTGACCCCTAACCCTCCACTGCTCCTGCCCCAAATCTCAACCATTGGCCCCAAACCTTCGCCCCTGGCCTCCAGTTCAGGCCTCCTCCAATCAGGGCCCAGGAGCTGGGGGAGATTTGGGTGAAATGGGCAAAAATGGTTTGAAGTCCAGAGTTGGAGCAAAGATGGTGGACATTCGGGGAGAAGGTCAAGAATGGGGTCAAGGGTTGGGATTTGGGGCAGGATTTGGGGATTTTGGGACATTTAGGGAGCCAGGGATGGGGGTTTTGGGGCCACCACCAGCATCATCACCATGTCCATAGCTCTCAGAGAGGATTCCAGCCCAGCCCCAAGGAGCAGCACCAGACACCGAGGCCGCTGAGGGAGAAGTGAAGCCCCAGGTGGGAGCGAGGGAGGGAGGGAGGAGAAGACGCCGCAATTTTGGGGCTCCGCAGCCTCCCCTCACTTCCACCCCGGCAGCTGCCGGGGCCCGGCTGGGGCAGGAAAGGAAACAGAAAGTTCCTGGTTTTGTTCATGGTGAACATCTGTGTTTGGCAGAGG